TTAGGACTCTACCATTGGCAGTAATCAGTGGATTGTTTCTGTGTATAGTCATTTATGTGTTGGCAAATATCGCTTATTTTGCAATTTTGTCACCTGCTGAGATGTTAGCTTCAGAGGCTGTAGCTACAGTGAGTTCGTTTCATTGCATTTACTGGATATCTATTGTAAACGAACGACATTAAGACGGGTTGAAATTGCATTTGACAATGGCATACTTATTCAATTGAGACGAGGATGAATCACTTACAATGATAATTATAATACGACCATGAGATGTTGCTTGAGATGGTGAATGAATACAGAGATGTTGCTTTCAGACGTTCACACAAAAGACTCTGGGCGACTTCTCATACGCTATGCCAGCGATAGTTGGTGTTCTAATGACCGGAACAATCAATTCGGATGTGTTTATGTTCAGTCGGTTAGTTGATCTGTTTTTATTGCGGAGATAGAGGCAATTAGTTTTTGCATCGCTTGTTCAATAATGACATATACAATGGCAGTGATAATGACCGATAAAGCTAATGATGAAGCTAGCGAGTAGGTATGAAAATATCTGAATTACCTGGATTTCCAGGTGTGGTGACTGAAAATATGACTGAAATAATTTAGCTTCATGTTCGCTGGTGCGAGGAGAGGTGATATGCCAACAGCGTGGGCACTGATGAATGAGGAAAATGAAAGTCCACGAGTCACTGTTCTACTTCATGTAAATTGACATTATTGTGTTTTGAATTTGAAAAGATAACTGATCTTACAATATCTTACAATACAATATCTTACAATATACAATATCTTGCAATCCTACAAAAGATAACTGACCTTGTTAATAGCTGATCTTAAATTATGCTTTTAATGTCGATATTGGCATGGAATTGAGCAGATACGTGAATGATCGATCATAACAATATTGAATGGTATTGATCAGAGGGGATTTTGTCATTAGTAATAACGGTTTCTCTCCCTAGAAATAAATGGGCATATGGGAGAGTAGCCCAAAACCTCTGTNCGCGGAAAGAAGAATGCCAAGGAAGGAAGAGTGTGATATTAGTGATATTGGTAATAACAGAGAGGCATAAACTGGTAATGAGTTTGATTTGCTAAATATTAACGGTTTATAGTGAATATTTCAGAGCGTATTTTCATTGTGTTTTTCATTTACGGATACCGTGAATCAGTTGATTCAGTACATGATCGTTTGTGGAATGCTACAGCAATGTTTCGTCGTTAGCGCTTTGCTGTATATTCGCATTCGGAAAGTACCCGTTCATAAGGATGCTATTAGAGTACGTCCTTTCCTCAATACTCATTCACAAATTTATCCCCCCTCCCCTTCATATTCACTCACCAATTTATCCCCTTCATTTACCTTATTAATTTTAAAAGGAAGCGAGTAAATTCACGATTCTGATCCAATTGCATTATGTTCTTATAGTAATCATAATCGATTACATTGTATTGATCTGATTATTTCCAATCATTGCCATCATCACAGTGTAAAAAGCAGTAGTGTTGTTATTTTAATTTCTTTGAAACCAGCTGAAATGCATCTGGATTCGCGATTGATCAACTGATCGCGCAATAATTCTCCTCAGTCAGTAAAGCCATAGCAAAGAACTTTCTGCATGATCTTGATTTGCAGCTCCAATGCACAATGTTTTTAGTATTCTACAATGCACATTTTGTGAATTCACAATTTCAGTTTCCATTGATTGTGCCCATAACACTGCTGATAATCTCGGCTGCACTAGTGATAATTCCGTGTTGGAATGACTGGGTGGCTGCGGTGGTTGGATTTGGAGTGGCGTTATTCTGGTTGTGTGTGTACTTCATTCGTGAATGGACATTCCCTCTTAAACCAGTTGTCTATATTAACGGTAAGTCTTCAGTCGCAATGAAATTGGTGCATTGACTCTAACTGACATCGTATTCGTAAACCGAAACAGACAAAAAATTGTTACTGCTGGTGTTACTGGTCAGTGTGAGACAGCGTTACTAGTAATACCACAGTTTTACTACTTTACTTTCTCTTCGTCATCGCTTTCGTTTGAAGATTTATATGCGAAGAAGAACCCAGAATTTTAATTATCCAAACATTTACAACTCCTTTTTAATTATGCGAAAAAATAGTCCATATGAAAAGTTACTCCCAGTCAGTATCATTAGGCTTCAGAATGACGAATCGAGATAATCATGTCAACTTTATCAACACACAAAATCATGATGAATTACAGACGTAACAACAAAATTCTGCCAGCGACTGTTTTGGTGTCAAGTGGTCACATATGAAGAAGCAGTCAAAAACGAGCATTTAAAGTCTGATCACGATATCAAAAAAGTTGACAATACAACCGAAGAACAACGTGCTAATACGGTGGATACGCTATCGACTGAATCGTAATTGTAGTTCTTGAATTCAATACGTTTTAATCCGTGGAATCTGTACAGTTTGACGCATTCCGACGTGGAACAGATTGCTTAATATAAAGGCTGATGTTTGTGTGCCGCATTAAGCCAATAAAGAATATACATTAAAGTTTCAGACATTGCACTGTACAATCGTTTTGTAGCCTTATGATCAGTATTCAGAGGTATTAAGTGGCCAAAATCAGGCCGAGAAAACAGCTCTCTTTCGCTGATTCTGTTGACTGAAGTTGTTTGAATATGAAGTAGACCCTCCCCCTTCTGC